GTGTGTGTGTGTGTGTGTGTGTGTGTGTGTGTGTGTGTGTGTGTGTGTGTGTGTGTTTCAGAGGGTGTGTTCACTCCGCACACAAACACGCGCTCAGGAAAACTTTTCAGCCAACTCGCACCGATGGCACCGCTGCAGGCGGTCGAGTAAGGTAACGTCTTCACGTGTTTTTTCTACTTTTCTTTAACTTATTTTTAAAGAGGGGTTTGAATGAAGGAGGTTAATTAAGGAGAACAGGCGACAGGTGTTGTGTCTCACGCGGTGTTTTTGCCATGAGAATCGCACGAGYCATCTTCTCCCCCCCGCGAGAAAATATGGACGATTTCAAATTCACTGTCAGGAAAGTAAGGAAGCGAAGTGTGTCTTTATATATAAAAAAGAATAACTCTGTAAGAAGGACATCAAAGCGACAGGAATAGTTAGCAAAGAAAAGCTAACTTTGTGAAGGCACGCGCGACATTAGTTTATTGAAACTACGTTCTGACCAAACCGTTCTGCGCATGCGTCAATTTACAGCGTTGCAACTTTCCTTAAACAATTAGTTTTTAAATTAGACCCATTTAGATTTAGTTTAAATAGTGTTTTATTTGGCCAATCACAGTGGAGTATTTAGATCAAGATAAAAGTCGGTGAGGCAGCAGATTATTTAAGTAAATATCACAGCAAATCATAACATTTTATAAGTCGTGTTTCTGTGCGGCCACTCCTGTTAATGATGGTCATTTAAAAGACTAAAATAAAACAATTATTAACTGATATTAATAATGTCAAGTAATAATAAGCCCAATAAATGTTGGGTAACAGCTTCCTCACCTTGAATGTTGATGGATTTAATTTCTTGTTTCTCGACAGTGAGAACACAATACTCAAATATATGTGACTTGTAGCTACTTTACATTTCATGGACAGTAGGGAAAAGTATAAACGTTGTTACCAAMAGCTTTTTAAATTCTAAAAATATAATAGATTTTAGATAACAGAGTTCCTAGATGTTAATGCAGTATCAAAACAAGCCAACCTATCATAAGTTTCCACATTTAATTCACATGGTCATGTCCTTTTTATTTTTACTTCTGTTTGTGGTCTTTCTTTGACCTGAATGATGTTTCACATCATATTTTGGTTCCTTGCTATCAAACCAAATTACTTTAGTGTCTGTTTTAGACCTGCTAGTTGTGTTTTTCACATATCTGGGCCATTCATCTCTTCAGGGACTTTTTTTCCCATCTCTTTGTGATCTTTTGGTGTTAGATTTAGATAATTTGACATTGTTTTGGAGTTTTACCAGTTTGAAGTGATTTAAAATCAGATTTATTTGCTTGTTTAGTTTATTTTTGGTGTTTCTAGCTTGAATAAATACGCCTCACAGAAGCTTTTGGTCCTCCAGATAAGTAAAAACGACATTTTGTTTGCAGTCAAAATGTTCTCAATGAACTGTCAAACTTTAAATTTTCTAACAGACCATCRGCATTAAAGCATCATAAAGTATTAATATTAATGTCTTTTTATTTCCTGAACAGTCGCCTTTAAATCCAAGCAGGATTGGGCGTAAAGCACAAGAAGTAGTCTTTATTTGTTTAACWTTCTTCTCTGTGCTGCAGGAATGGCAGGCCAGCAGGTTGACTCATCTCTTGACCTGAGCCACCTGACGGAGGAGGAGCAGTCCTCCATCCTGCAGGTCCTACAGAGGAACTTGGAGCTGCGGCATCGTGATGAAGGACGCATAAGGTCAGGCAGAGGTGACTATTTAGTCTTTTCAGGAACAGATCTCACCGTATTTTTGAACTAACGACGAGTGGATGGACAATTAGCGTAAAGCGGGCAGTTTGAAAATCTTTAAGTGTTTATTGTGTAAACCTTTGTAAAATTTGCTGGCGAAACGTTACAAACTTTGGTGTTCTGATGGTGGAGGTTACAGATGTGAAAGTGATCTTTTCAGTTTACTTTTATTATTGCTGGACCAAAACCTAAAGATGTTCACACTATGATATCTTTGAAGCTGGTGTTTGGAGATATTTATTTTTTAGGTTTTATTGATGTTTAAGCAAAACTTGGAATATTCTGAGGAAACTAACAGCCATAATTATAGTTTGAAGTGCATTTTTTGCAGAACTGTTCCATCTTTTTATCCTCATCCAGACTAAATGTTCATGTAAGAAGGGACTTAAGTCAGTGTTTTTGATGAATACCGAGATTTGAAGAAGATGGGAGCATGTGACAATTTTCTGTTTATCTTGGCCCTCCTCTGACGCTGCAGGATCCTCGAGCAGACAGAACCGGACCCGTCACGTCTGCGCCTCCTGTCYGGAGAGTGGTTCAGTCAGGTTTGTGGCAAACGCCACCGCAAGTGGACCTCAGGCTGCGACCTGATCCAAGCCAGTCTCCGTCACAGAAAGACTAAGAGCAAAGGTGAGTATTTCATTTTTCTTCCCTTTTGTAAGGAGCTCTGCATCAGAATGACTGTGCTCTGGTTGTTGCCATGGTAACAGATGTGCACCTGAACGAAGTGTTCAGCGGAGAGGAAGAGGAGGAAACTTTCCAGAGAAACGTCTCTCCTGAGGCRGAGGAAATACCGCAGGACAACAAAGAGAAGGAGAGCGGAGGGTTAGTGTGTCCGATTAAAGCTCTGTTTGTTACATTTTACACGAGAAGCATTTCTCATTTCTGATTTGTTTCCCCAGATGTCGAGAGAGTCTGAAACCCGAAGCCACACCCAGTAGAAATCCTGTAGAGCAGGTGTGTATTTATGTCATCTATTTGATGTTATATAATCATCTAAAACCTTCTTTATGTTAACAAAAATAATGTTTTAACAGAGTCTCCAGCATAGAAACCGTTCTTCTCCATCCAAAGGTATGAATAAAATGCTGCCAGCAGTCTTTACAGGTCACTGGAAACCTCTGAGTAACATTTTGTTACCTTATTATCTGGCTCACAGAACGCAGATGTAATGGATACTCAGAAGAGCCTGAGGTGATTGCAGTAACACACCCCCACTGTGACAGATTCCTGTGACTAAACACTGTTCAGTCCAGCTTCCCTCCACTGACTCAGTATTTGACATCATGTAAACGTATGAGTAAATCAGGTGTGATGACTGATATTAGCTCTAAAGATCTGACATTTATTCAGTTTCTGTAAAATCTTTTATGTTGTAGATATTTTTGTACAGATATTCAGGGTTTCTCTGGAGCAGACAGAAAATTTTCAGGAGATCGAATAAACAAAAAAGTTTAGAAAAATGWAACATTTCTACACACAAGAAGAATCTTTATGCTTTTATATTTAGGAGACTTTAGTAGTTAAGGCTCATTGAGTGTAGACAAAACATAACCTCTTCTGAATCAGTTTGTAGAAATCAGTTAGTAGGGTATTTTATATTTTGTTTGAGGTGGGGTTCTATGAAGACATTATGAGAAGTCAGTATCTTACCTGCAGCAAAAGCAGTAAGAGCAGTTTGGAGAAAAAATACAAACGTTTCGAACAGATGGATGACTAGTTTGAGAAGATCTGAGATTATGCTTTGTTGTAACAATGCTTCTTGGCAAGAAATCTTATACCACTGGAAAGCCTGTTAATTTCCCTGTTAAATGGTGCCACATTTGTAAGGAACATGCATTTGTGGGATGAGCAGTAGAGCTGAGTGGGTTGCACACATGAAGTTTGCCAAATCTTCTCTGCCAAACATCTTACTTTGCTTTTGCTATTTTGAGTTACTGATTGAGCCCCTGATGCTGCCAATCATAAGCTTAATTGCCAGCAAGCATTATTATAATAAAAAAAATTACCAAACACAAATTTCCTTACTTTTTGTGCTAAATATAGATTGCTGCAGTCTTAAAATAACTTTAAATCAAGGAGTTTAGTGAACATGTTTTTATAAAATGTTTTATTTTAGACAATGGTTGGTTTGTTACCAGTAATGGTCCTTGTGAACTGTTTTTCAAAAAAAAAACCAAAAAAAAAAAAAAGCACATTAACCAGAGTAACTTTCCAATGGAAAAGTGACAATGATGTAAACATAGAACTGTGCTTGCTTACATAACAAAAATTTTTTTTACATCACATTAATTTTGCATGTTTTTCTGCTTGATWATGTGTAACACTTCCTGTTTCACAATCCATTTTATATGGATTCTTATCAGACTACAGACCAAAACGTGTCGGCAAAATAACCCTGAATTTCCATGTAAACAACTCTCTTGTGCAAAAGTGACTGGTTTTTAAAAAAAGAGTTTGTTTGAACCAGTAAGTTTTTTATTTAGGACTGAAGTTTCCTACGACAGMGTATTAGGGCTACACTACAAGTTTTGTTTTGTTTATTATGAGATTAAAGTTGTAATATTACAAGAATAAAGTTGATAAATTATGAGAACTCCTACATAAAGAACCGTCTTCCCACTACATTAAAATGAGGAACGTTGAGCATCTTGTGAAGTTATTTGGTATTGGTTTAAAGAAATAATCTTTTAACACRTCWGCATCATTAGTAACAGGGCTTTGAAACTATTGTTTAAATGACTATAGGATGATAAAATGAAGCTTTATTGCAGTTAATGGTTGCATTGATGGATTTAGTCATCACATAATGCAGATGGAAGCATGTTACATGAACACTGACCAAAAGTAATCAGACTCCATAAACACAGAGACACACATGGCTGCACACAGATTGTGTGAGGGGAAAAAATCAGGAATGGACAATGATCATGTAATGCAAGATTTTAACTTTTTCTTATATTATGATTTTTTTCCCCTCATAATTAAAGTATTGTGTGGCCCTAATACTCTGTCATAGTTTCCAGACTGCAGAAATTGTTTTTTTTGCTCCACTCTGATTTATTTGTACATACCTGGTCCATTATTGATCTGTTATTACAGATGAATATCCCTCATCAGAGCCCCACTGTACAACAAATACAAAGCATCTGTGTAGGCGTTTAATGACACAACAGATGCATTGTGTGTGAAAGTGCTGAGTCCTCTTTGTGTGTATGTGTGTGTTTGTGTGTGTGTGTGTGTGTGTGTGTGTGTGTTGCAGCTCGGCGGCAGCATGATGAGCCTGTTCAGCTCGGGGGACTTCGGGGTGGTGGAGGTGAGGGGCCGCATCCAGTACTCATTGGTTTACGACACTCACAAGGAGGAGCTCCAAGTTAAGGTGTATCGCTGCGAGGACATCGCGTCTGCACGCAAGAACCGCTCCGACCCGTAAGTGTTTCTGTTTGTTAAACCAGCCGTGCCACGCACCAAATCAGTACAACTCTCTATGTTTGCTTTGTTTCCTACAGATATGTAAAATCCTACCTCTTGCCAGACAAGTCCAATCACAGTAAGAAGAAGACGCCAGTGAAGAAGAAGACACTAAACCCAGTTTATGATCAGATGCTCAGAGTGAGACGCTCTTTCATTTCCATGTTACATAAACTCACAACAATCTTTGTCCCTCAGCATCAAACACAATCCAACACGCAGAGGGATTTAAAATTAAACCTGATTCCTCCAAGCTAACTCTTTTATTTATTTCTCAGTACAAAGTGGGCGTCAGGGAGCTGCACAGTCGCACTTTGAACCTGTCTGTGTGGCACGCCGAGAACCTGGGAAAGAACGTCTTCCTGGGGGAAGTGGAGGTGCCTCTGGGACTCTGGGACTGGACTTGCACGCAGCCGCTGTGGCAGGACCTGCAGCCACGGGTACCTGACACAAACGAGCTGCACGCAGATAAACACGCGCTAATAWAAGTCAGCACGAGCGCTCCCAGAGGAGTAATTAATCTGAAAACTAAATGCGTTTCCTGCAGCTGCGTTTGTTAAGCTCTGAGTGGTGGAAACCTTGTTAGAGGCAGACTATAAAGTGAGGGAAGAAGTTTTTTTTTTTGCCTGGGTGAGCTGAAGGGAGAGGAAGACATGCTGTGAATTTCAAACAAGGTTTTATGTAACCTCAAGCCGTCCCAGCGTCCACACGCCTGCCTCTTTAACTCTTAATATATCTCCTGATTGTTTCAGGTCCGTCTGTGTCCAGACTCTGTTAGCTGTCGGGGCAGCATCTTCTTTTCTATTAAATTTATTCCTGATGGATTCGAGGGTGAGCAAAATGTTTTATCTCAGTATTATATTTACACGAGCCTCACAGATCCAGCGTGGAGGTTTTTGCATGTGAACATGTTTGTGTTCAGGTGGTGGTCTGCCTTTGACAGGAGAGATTCACATCTGGCTTCAGGAGGCTCAGGGTCTCCTGTCCAACAAAGGAGGCACCATAGACTCCTTCATTAGGAGGTGGGCCTGCTCTACTTTGTTACTTTTAAACATTTATCACACACATTTCTTAAAATTCCTCACGTGTTTAAATTTATCATGTTTAGATCATTGCTGAGCTTTTTCTTTAGATTTTGGATGAAAAGAGGACTTTCAGGCTGCACGATCAATGGAAAAAAATCACAGGATAATTTTATCCTTCACTGCAGTCTCAGTTCAACTCTCTTCATTTCTCTCCACCCTCCCCTCAAGCTACATTCTCCCAGATGCTAGTCGGCAGAGTGGTCAGAAGACGCGGGTGGCGAAACGCTCCGTCAGCCCCACGTACAACCACACCATGGTCTATGACGGCTTCCACACCAGCGACCTGAGGGAGGCCTGCGCCGAGCTCACGGTCTGTCAGCGTGACGGCTTGAAGACGCACGTCCTGGGAGGCATTCGTCTGAGCTGTGGAACGGGTGAGGGAGGTTTTTAACGAGCTTGTTTCAAGAACAGACGTTCATTCTGCTGTTCATTAGAGGAGGAAGAAGGAGCAAACGGAGCAAGCTTTTGTTTTTCTCACAAAGGTTATGACTTACTCAGGATGCTTTGTCAGAAGTGTAAGGTCACGTGAAACGTATAAGAGGTGAAGACATATTTGATGTAGAAAACGTCATGAAAAGTAATGTTTTATATGCATTTTTTTAAAGGGGCAAATCATGTAAAATCAACTTTTTTGAGTTTTATATCATGTTATAATGTTATATTCTCATAAAAACATGCCCAAAGCCTTGATTTAACTCATTCATGCATGTTTGAGAAGTCCTGCAGCATTTTTAGGCAGCCATGCTGAGGAGCAAAACAACAGGTGGGGAC